TACCTTCATTTTAATTTTTTCTCAAATCATTTAAACCTATAACACGAAGAAGCGAGAAACATACTTAGAAACTTTTCTTTTAATGATGTTACAGGTTTTGTATAAGTTATACTATACATAAATAGAAAAGAATGCATTTTTATTTTACTAATAAGGCCAATGCTTCGTAAAACAGCTTTATTTATTGCTGTCTAATAGTTATCTTGCTCTCATTCATCATCTTAGAGTGCAATGCTTTCTATTTATTTTTATTGGTCATGTCCATTACTTCCATATTCAATTGATTTATGATACATTTCAATGGTTTTGCCTAAGCATAAATGATATCGAATATCTCATCTTTTCTTCCCATTATAATTTGTTAAGATTATATGTATATAGTTATAATAGTATAATATTGCAAATATTATAATTCGTTATAATATTATGCTTTTGTTATAATCGTAGATACTAAAATATAAGTATCATGCCTAGTGTGCTTATACATAAACTTAGAAATAACAGAATCTACTTGTTAAACGCTACTTGTTATTTTATAGAAATTAAAGATATCAATGTTATTAAGAACATTATTAGAAAGTAGGTATATAAAAGCTGCATTTATTTATCTATGTGTATAATATAGATCTATAATACCAGCATTATGTATCGACGTCGCGTCGCGTGATACAAGTCACGGTGCAAGTCTGTAAGCAAACTGACCGTAGCGGTGCGGTAACGCGTCGCTGCTCGACGTGAGAAAATTCCTTCTACATCCTCATTGTTCTTATCTATACCCTTGTTTGTATTGTTGGAACCTAAATTTTAGTTGTTGCTACTTTCATTTACAACCTTCGAAAAATGCACTATCTTTGTTGGAACGGTTTTTAAAATTATTACTAGTTGTCATGCCAGTATCTGTCTTAAAAGTAGATTAAAATTCAATTTTGGAATCTATATCGAAAATCGCCACTTTAGTAACGTTTTCAATCAATTTACTATAATAACTTCTGAAATTCATAGAAAAATAAAATGATCAAGTCACCCTTTTCAGATCTTGTATATTTATCTGAAGCAAAAAAATCTTTACTAGTTCATTAACGTAGAGTTTTACCTTCTATTATAGCTGAAAGCATCAATTATTAATGTGTTACTGTGCTTTAATTTCTTTTTTTGAAATCTACAATAATATAGATTCATTATCAGATTATTTGTTTGAACGCTCTAATTTCTGGAACTCTAGTACCTAGTTCAATTTAAAAATTTCTTTTTGCACATAATAGTGTTATTTCTAGGGTATCCTACTTGTTATGGGGTTTAAGCTATCTAATATTACGCTACCACCTTCAAGAGCGGAGAATTAAGCATAAATTTAAAATTATAGGTTGGCAGAGCCGCAGACAACGATAGTATTTAATACCTACAAAGAACTATTAATAATTCTCATAACAAATATGTTTTGCATTTTCTGGTATGTGAACAAATAAATTTTGCTCATTTCTGCTCCAATTGCCGACGTCAAGTTTAATTAACGCACTATCGTATAATTTCACTGTCTACACAACACCTTTGCTTATTAAACCTAGGTAGTTCGTGTAAACGATGTTAGGAACAAGTAATTAGATGAACTATAATTTCCAAAGACGGATCCTAAAATTGAAAGTGATTTTGAGATCGAGATTATTGCTTTGGTCAGCTTATGATGAACGAAGAGAGTAGGTATGAAATTTTTGTACAATGAAGGAGTAGCACTGAGGAAGCATTTTTGGAATATTGATCCTTAAAAAGGAAATAGGGGATGTAAAAATTTTGCAACAAAAAATGTCCATATCTATATTTAATTATAGGTTTGGAAAACTTTAAACTTAAGTATTATCCTTAGGTACTGTTATTTAAAAAAAAAGATTTAAAATATTAATTTAGATAAGTACCTATTTTAACAATAAAAAGCTATTTTTCTTTAATATCATTATAAATTATAAAGCTAGTATTAAACTTTTTCTTAGAAGGCAAGGTAAGGATTACTGGCATAGAGTGAACGCCGCTGTGGTTATTGTAATTCAAGTAATCAGAAAGTTAAACTATACTTACTGATTGTGGTTTATAACTAGTTTGTACATGTAGAAACTATATGATTCTCAGTAGATAATTTTTCGTATCCAGCCCTTGTTTCTTAACGTCCCACTGGCATGGGCCTGCCTTCAATACGAGGGGGATCAGGCCGTAGTCCACCACGCTAACCAAGGGCGGGTTGGCGGACTTCATATGTCTTTCGAAAACTTATTAGGTTCTCTTAGTCGTGCACGTTTTTTCACGATGTTTTCTTTCACTGTAAGATAAAAGGTAATCGTGTTGGAAATGATTAGCACATGGAAATATTAGCGGTGCGAGACCCGAGATTTAAACCCGCTTTAATCGGTTTCCCAAGCTAGCGTATTACCACTGAGCTCCCTGTTACTGTCTAGATAGTTTGTATGCTTAATTTATTTACAATCTCGATATTGTTTTTAGTAAGAAACAATTATATGTCATTAGCTATGCTCATAATGAGAAAAATATGATTATAAAATAGAACTCATGTTTATTGCCTTACAAAATTGTGTTTGATAATTATCAACTTAATAAAGTTTCCACGTAAATTACTCGCTTGACAATCTGGTCTCTACATAATGCAAAGCTGATGGCCACATCTTATTACTTCATGACATAAAAAAATTTACGCCATAATAGCCTTCACTTTTTCATTACACCATGGTCAAATATGACAGGGCCTAATCTTTTTTAATGTCTTTTAATCTAAGTCTCCTAATAACTAAAACATAATGCACAAACATTGCACAATATAGAAGGAAAATCTTGAACTGGTTCACTTACTTCGAATACATTAATCATAGTACATACACGGTTTTTGACGGACAGTCTGGTATAAGATCACCTACGTCAATACAGCCTCCATTATACCTTTTGTTTATGTTTTCAAGTCTAACTTGTTAACAAAAGACCATGTATTGTTTAGTTTGCGACGAGCGTTTCGACACTCGTCACCGTTGAGTCCACTGTGACAAGTTTTCAAAGTTCTTTTTTTTACTTTTTCGACCTTGTCATGTTAGACATTTGAGAACACTTGTTTTAATTAATGGTATATTACTATAGAGCGTAGAGTATGCTTTAAAACTTTTTCGCGTTGATTAAACTTAGACATGTCAGGGTTTGAACCTGTGCTGTATCATATTGTAATTAAATACGTATTATAATCTACTATTCAATACGGTGTTTCGTAGCGGTTAATGGTCTGCTTATTCACTTACTGACCTTATATGGCGTGAAAGCTCCGCTACATTGTCGCCAGTTGACGATCGACTTAATATGGACCTGCAGACGCCTCGGATAAACTTTGAGCTAAAAAATTTTTTTTTACTTTTGTATATTGAGTACCAGTAACCAGTAGTTAAGGAGAGGAAGAAGTGTACTATGTATTTTAATATTCAACTTTATATATCTATTAATAACACAATTTACAATGACAAATTTTAGTTCGACTTTGTGTATTGGTAGTAGGTACTATAGTTATTTAGCCCACTGTCTATAGAGATTGTTAATCCCAGATTATTCATAAAGAAAATTGCAAAGTATTTTTTTATTGGAAAAGAACTTGAAATGTTCGTCATGAATTTATATCTAAAGTTCGCTCAACGAAAATCGTATCCTCGTAAAGCTTTTCCTCTTTACCTGCCAGATAAGCTGGACAAATGCTCAAATCGTAATAAACGTGTTTTAGTTGTTACGACCGTGTTAACCATAAAGAAATTATGATCTACTTTAGCTATGTTGAGGTATTTACATATATACTTAATATATGTTAAATTACAAAAATATTTTTTTATTACAAAGGTTTTTTTATAGGATTACGTAACTTATTTTATAGGACTTTAAGGCATTTTATTACAGTTATTTTTAACCTAAACCAGACATTCGTAGATTTATTTACAATTTTCTATTAGATTTTCTTACCTACAGCTCATGTATGTACGTGAATATGCATTAGGACTTGACATACTTTTTATGCAAGTGATGTTGCAATAACATATGGCAGAAAATTGTTACTCCGGATGTGATGTAGTGACGTGGCACCTCTGTATCTGAATAAGGAAGGTTTAACCCTGTTTACAATACCAATCTGTATAGTGGGGTAAAACAAGTTGCATTTTAATTGTAATTCTTAGGTAATAGGGATGTTAGCATATTTACATTTAATTTAACATTAATTTGTTTCACGGATTGTTTGAGAAAACAACATGGACACAAAATGTATAAATTTTCAGTTTATTTTAAACTACCGCCAAGTTTTTAAACGTAGTAGATTTTTGTATTTGAGTATGTGTACCTACAATTGTAACTTAAAGTTATAAATTTTAATATACCTAATAATTCCTTATATCTCTTTTTAGCCCACTTCCGAAAAGGAGGAGGTTCTCAATTGGTCGGATTTTTTTTAATATGTAGTTGTACTTTACAGTTAGTTACTTTTCCAGTTTTGAACCGTCTCCTATATATGCATGCTTAAAGCTACGAATCCAAGAATTGAATTTACAAAGAATTATAATATTCTATTTATATTACACTTACAATGTTATAGGTATGACATCAAAGTCGCAGGCTTTAATGTTCATCCGTTGTCATTATTGACGCAGTCGTAGAGGTCCATCAATAATCTCATACGAATTGAATGATGTCATTTATTGAAACAACATATTGACAAAATGAAAACAGAATGAAGTATAATGAGTAAACAACTGAAATCTCAACAAACTGGAGCATATCGGCAGAAAGGAATTTCAGTTGTTTTCCCGAAGCCGTAATAAAACTCTCGTAAATGTACATTTTCAACGGTACATCAGCTTTTATCTTTCCTAGTAAACGTTTGGGCGAAGATCTAAAATTATCTTTTCCAATATGACATATTTAATCTTTCAAATTTATTGAGCTACGTTTTTTGATTTTTTTTTTTAATTTTTTTACAGAAATAGCAAAAGTTCGAGCAAGCTTATTCCAAATAAATGGAGTCAAGAAAGAACCCCTCATTCTACCAGAGCCCGAAGGCATGGTCACCACACTCACAGAAAAAGTATATGTACCTGTAAAAGAGCATCCAGATGTAAGTATTTCTTTTATATTATACAAATGTCTTTGGCACTCAGATAGATACCTTATTTAATTCTTAAGGCTGTGTTTTACATGTAACCTACGCATTTACATTGCTAACAATAGTTCTATATTGGTACAAATTTTCACATAATAAAAGGTTTTCCTTTATGTCAATAAAATAATATTTTTATATTATAATACTGGCATTTTAATCTCACTTTGCTCGGATGCGTCTTTGTACCTAATAGTAGCCTATGTGTTTATAACTGATTATTTTAATCTATCTATTTAAATTTCATCCAAATCCGTCCAGTTGTTTGAGCGTCAACACACACATATTAATTTTTGCATATACTTATTAGTAATAATTATGTTTTGTAACCATTCGCAAATTACATTTCTTGTATGTAAAATATGTCTTGAAATTTTTTTTAGCGTTTTCATACATAAGTTTTACTTCCAGTCGGTTTTTTTGATGACGCTCATGGGCAAACACTACCTAATATGACGACAAACATGTACAATGTACATACATATAGATATACAAATTACAATTACGTGATCTATACAGATCACACATCACTACTAGGATTCAAACTATGCCAAATACTACCCCGAATTAAATACTTAACTAACTTAAACAGTTTTACTAACTTAATTAAAGGTACACAACTTTATAGGAATTACTATAAGTTATTATAAGCCTTACAACTAGAAGTTATTTTTACCGTTAATGTTAGTGAGACACTTGTTAACATAACTGGAACAACCCGGAAGGTTTATATAATACGATAAATTATTGTAGGTACATAATGAATGGATCCTAATGAATGAAACGTTGCTGAGCCTTGAAATGATAATAAAACAATTCAACATCAGTGAAGCATACAGAGCGTCTAATAAACGCCAAAAAGAATAAAATCTTGTTAGATCTGTCATGTCACACCCAGTCCATGTATAGCTATCTGACGAGTGTCGAGACTCGAAACGTACTCCGGCTGTTATTTTTATAAGGGTTTTAGTTCATTACGACATAGATTGAGATAAAGTGTCATAGGTTTTAAGTTTTATTGCATCGGGGGAGAGAATGAACGAATGTTAGTCATATAAATAGAAAGACAAGGTTGGCAGCTTGCTACATTTGGTGACTTATGTCAGGGCGATCTCGTGTTTCGAGCTCGCACTCGGGTGAGGCTCGCAAACTCAATGATACAGTCCATTCATTGAAACAGACGGTATAGAACTCATTTGCAAATAGTTCGTCTTATACAATTTCTATTAGGACTACAGGTCAACGACTGGAGTGTTTCAGTTTTTAAACTATTGATATTAACCAGTACTAATAGTTATGTAGGTAATACGTATGCCAAATATTGAAATTGTGTTGTTGAAAGTTTTATTTAATTTGAATAAGCACTTTTAGCTGGCGATGGAACAAATCGATTTATTTTCAACTGCCCAACATTCTTCTTTTGAAACCTTTTCTATTACTCTTAAAATGTCGATGACCTAATAGAAAATATTGCGCATAATTCTAATCGTATTTAATTTTTTTATTTTACGTTTTAATTTTAAAACTATGGTACATTTTAATTTTATTTAGCGGAACCCTAACTATATGTCTAAAATAAAAGTAGCCTAAGTTACTCCTTATAAAATCAGCTATCTACCAGTGAAATAAATTATGCATATAATTTCATATCTATTTCGTAAAAAGTTGTTATAAACAAACACTTAATTTGAATTTCCACTTGAACTCAAAGCTATAATACTACGTATGTATATACATATTTTTTTTAAATTTATACGTTTTGGATTAAAAATTAATGAATACGTAACTTTATTAAAGTTATGCTAGAACCAGATTGATTCATGTCAAGTTATGAGAAATGAATGCTTTTAATAGTTTCAAGCTGTACAAACAATATTGGTTAAGATTGCGCCTGCGTTCTTGTTAGCGATCGATTGTTGGCGCCGTTTGGTACTAGTCAGTTTCCTAATAAGGTATTGTAGGTTTGACGCTCTTCTGATTTATTAATTCTATAGAAGATATATTTGGAATTGCTGTACTCAGTATTTTACAGATGTCGAATTTATCTCATGTTAATAGATATTAAAATCTATACATATAATAAAATTCTAACTCAGTCGAATGTGTACATTGAATTTTTTTTGGAAAATCTTATTGAAACAGTCATTATTGTCGATACAGAGGCCAAATCTACAGTTTTTAGAATTTTTGTCTATCGGTCTTTCTGGGAACGCATCACGGGAAAACCACTGGACAGATTGATGATGATAGCTGGTTATTCGGGTCAACATATAGGATAGTTTTAACTGCGGGAAAATATCTCGTCTGTGAGAAATCTATACTAAACGTTAAAATGTAACTAGGGACGAATCCGAGCGGAGCGAGGGTGAGTATATATATAATATACCTATAGGTACCTAATATTGATATTAAAATATACATATTTTTAAATAACAATTTCAATTTCTCGTGGGCTCTTCTCTGTGAGATCTGCTCTGTGAGCCCAGTTTCCTAACCTACCAACTGCATTGATTTCAGTTAGTTCAAAACTACTTAAACGTATACGGTCTATAAAAATACGCTGGTGCTACAGTTTACAATAGATTTCTTAGAAATTTAATTAATTTCTTAGAAATTTACGTGGAGGTGTTAATGTAGAGTAAACGTTGATATTTCTTAAGTTAAAATTATATAAATATATAGGTACTTTTCCTTTCTTACATTATTTACTGGAACTACAACAATATGTTCATAAATCTTGAAATAAATTGCATAATATGGTATTGATTAACGATCAAAGAAGCCGTCCTTAAATGTAATCATGTTTAGAAATATCGATGTAAGAATAATGACATCACTTTGTTTTTCATTAAAATCTTTGTTTCTATTAATCGTACGAGTATACATTTTATTTAAAGTTTTACATTTAATATTATATTAGATTATAATGTATTAAGTATTTTTTTTTTGTATATTTGACTAAAACAGAAATAGTTCTCGTAAACATATTCGTATGTCTGACACAATGTCGAAAAAATACTTTAAATATTAAAGCCTCAAGCGTACAAGAGAACATGACTAATGTACCAAAATATTTTTCAGCAATGACAACCCAGCACTTTAACAAATTATTTACATTTGCCAACCTTCTGCATAGTTTATTTAATATTCTTACATAAATAAACATTTTTTAAGGATGTTATTGAAATAGATTGGTTTGTTTTTGTTTTTTTTTTAACGCGCTGATCTTTGGTACTGATAATCTAATTTGAAAATTTCTTTCACATTTTATAATAACCTTGAGGAAAGTTCCCTAACATCACGCTTCAAAACTAACGTAAATAAACATCGCGAGCGGAGCGACGAACAAATCTAGTTTTATGATGAATGCGTTTATTGCGTTCGTTCACATGTAGGCCATCCTAATTTTGTCTTAATGACTTATTTGTACTCTCGGCTTAACTTGCGTAGATGCTCTGATGTACGCTGTTCCGCTCAAAAGATCTTATTTATGGCTACGCCGTGTTGAAATAACACGAGAATCAATTTAGTTCAAACATAATGGCAGACTAGAACAGTTTCTTATACATATATTATTCTTTTTATGAATGTTATGATTTCACAACATTTTTATTGTGTATTTTCAAAGAATTTATTATCTTAAAAACTATAGTAAAATTACCACAGAGATAAACAACCACATTTGATCCAATATCATGAAACAAATTATGCTATCTGCATTTAAAAATGGCATTATAACTATATACGCATGCAATTGAATCAAATTCGCCATATACAGAACAGAATTTCGCATATTTGTAGCAGATTGTATTACATTTATATTATGTATTACATGCACGTAGGAAACAGGCTCAATCATACCAACTAGATTAGAGCTTGCTGCAACTATTTAACTCGTCTCACTGGTTTCTCTTGTTAATACTGCTTGCCCGATGGGATTGTGTTAGCTACATCGATACTAATATTCTAAAGAGGAAAATTTTGCTTATTTCTAATCGATAAAGTTCTGTCTGAAATTACTGAATTAATTTTCTTATTTAATTTATCGTTAGAAAGCTACATTATCTAAAAGTAACATGGAGTATATTATATTTCAGTATTAATAAGATTTGCCAGTAATTTTCCATTAGATACACATTACATTGGTAATCATAACAAAATCACTTAAGGAAGTCAATATAAGTAAAGGACTTGGTAGAAATATTTAACGCTTCATACTTATTTAAGAATGATATTTTAGATATTGGATGGCACTTATCTGAACTTGACGGCCATATAGGGCCATTCGCACAAAATTCTTAATTTTATTTAAATGTTCTAATACAAACTAGAGAAATCATCAAGCAGCATTTGAACGTATGGATAACATCTTCAACTTGCATGTTCTTTTAATATAAAAATGTGAACACTCCGATCTCCCTTAAGAACACCAGAATGTCATATAGTCAGTATCTAATGATACAAAGTCCCAACAGTATCATCGACATCGATCAATATCCCGTTCCAAGTCCTTATAGGGCCACATTATTAAATCTCACCGTACCGGTAAGGTCCGTTACGGAGTTTTTGTTGAGTCGTTAAGTTTCTCGTTGATGTACTTCTGCTTTAACTTGAGTGGAAGCTATAAAATGTATGTTTTTCAAGTTAGTACCTAGATCAGCTTTAGTTAATGTTCTGCTTAGAACGGTATTTAGTATTTACAAATTAAATTCAGATAACGATTAAACCACATCTATCTATCTATAATTTTTACAGTATTTTATTATATCTTAATATAATAAATAATAATACATATTTTTGATATAGGTATATATTTTAAAAGGGAATGAGATGACTCATGAAAATGCCATATGGCTGTGTAATTAATAGAAAATGAAACCACTATGACTATGGTTGAGTTTTAAACGTGTTGATCATAAAAAAAAACGAATAATAAACTAACGCAGATGAGACATTAA